TACACAGGCAAAGATCAGGACACGAGAAAACAGACAAGGCAAGACTAAGATAAAGCTATGAAAAACTAGACAGGCTCCGTAGAGTAGCTATCGCTATGAGAGTGATAAACACTATACAATACTCTGCAGTTTGAAAGGGATCAGAGCGAGTGTTATATAGTGAATGTGTGATTGGTTACAGCTGTGTGCAATCAGTGCTGTGCGCAATCAGTGCAATGGATGATGGGATATGTAGTCCGGGATGACATGCAACAGTTTGTGTAGTGCGAGAGTCAATGTAATGGAAGGGGGACCTCTGGTGGTGAGTGAATGGAAGTTCATAGACTGGATTCGTGACAATGACGTTGTCCTGGACAGAGATGACAGAACAAACAGAAGCAGTGATTGAAGGAATACTGAAGGTGAAGCACTCATACTGCTGCTTCCATCTCATCCCCCTTGAACCTCTTGAATACATGTGATTATACAAATATTAATCATTATTTTCAAAAAAGTTAATTCACAAATCAGATATTTTAAATTGTATTAATATTTCACTTATATTAATTTTACTGTATTTTGATCAAATAAACGCAGACTTGATGAGCATTTATTTATAAAAGTATCTTACCAACCCCATATTTTTGAATGGTAATGAACATTTAAACCCTTCTGTCCATCAGATCAAAGTCATATATATATATATATATATATATATATATATATATGGTGCAACAAACAAGCAGGAAATTATATCATAGAGAAGACTGCTGCAGAAACTCATGAATGTGTGTCAAGATGTCTTTTAAAATATTAAAATATAGATATATTGACCTCTTTATGATGAGGCAAGATTAGATCAGGTTGTAAAGTATATCATGTGGTGCAACTCCCCAAAAACTTGACATTGGTATGCGTGAAATTTCTCTTTATACATTTTAAAATGTCATTTATTCCTGTGATCAATGCTGAATTTTCAGCATCATTACTCCAGTCTTCAGTGTCACATGATCCTTCAAAAAGTATTCGAATATGCTGATTTGCTGCTCAATAAACATTTATAATCATTATCAATGCTGAAAACAGGTGTTCTGCTTAACATTTTGTGGAAACTGTGATACTTTTTCAGAATTTTTGATGAATAGAAAGTTCAAAAGAACAGCATTTATTTGAAATAGAAATCTTTTGTTACATTATAAATGTTTTTACTGTCACTTTTGATCAATTTAATAATAAAAGTTTTAATTTCTTATTATTTATATTTAAACAGAAGTGCTTCACTGCTTTTCCCCTAAGAAATAATAATAAAAGATTATGCAAACTACTCAATAAGATTTTATTTTTTCAGGTATTTCATCCTTCAGTGTGGCTTTTTCTTTAATATGATATCACGATTGCATATAAATGCATAGACTAGTCTTACAAGTTAGTCATCAAATTGTTTTCTTTAAGATAATTTTTTATATTCTTTATAAAGCTTGGAAGAGCCAGGATATTTTTTTAATATAACTCCGATTATATTCGTCTGAAAGAAGAAAGTCATATACACATAGGATGGCTTGAGGGTGAGTACATCATAGGGTAATTTTCATTTTTGGGTGAACTATCCCTTTAAATCATAACTACTAAACCAGAGGAAAGTGATAAGCTGCAGTATAAGTACTACACTTCACCACATTGCACATTTTCAATTGCCAGGTCAGTTTAACTGATTTAGATTGAAGATACTAATTTCTTCATTAACTGCACACTGTTATTTTTTGTTTCTCCCACCTTCATGAGCTTTGTATTGTTGGCCTGGAAGACGTTTGTGTCCCTGGTGAGCTGGTTCTTCAATGTCGTGATAATCTTCTCATAATGCTCCCTCTGTCTGTGGTTTTCCCTCTGGATATCTGTGTCCACTGCCACTTTCTCTACCTACAGTCACACACCACACAAGCTCCAGTCACTGGAAGTCAAAACAGCACGAATAATGACCTAAATGAATTGATCTTACCACATCTGATGGCTGAACGTAGCATTTATAGAGCTCTCAAATGTTTTCCTTTAATTTTTTGGGGTCCTGAATGCATTCCACACATGTGTGAATGTCAGCTTTAAATCTCTGTACCAGAACCCCAATGTCCTGCACCTAGAGAAGACAGCAGGCCAGTCACTAGTCTAAAAATGATAGTGAAACTAGGGTGTTGGTATATTTATATATTTAAATGTCAACTAAAAACAATAAACAAAAAGCAATATACAACATTAATTTAATAATACGTTTAAATGTAACCTAAAAAGTAAATCTCAAAAAGAATATATTTAATATTTTCCAATTTTTCATACCATACATTATAATTTATAATATACATAATTTGTTGCTAAATTTACTTGTACTGTATTTAACACAGCTTATTTGAGTTTTTATGTTTTAATTATTTAGACAGAACTGTATCCTTAATTATGTTTTTAGTAAATTATTGCATACTTCTGTATTAAGTTTGTAACAATTCTCAGTGATTTTATAAATATTTTATAATTTACAACTCATTAAAGGAATAGTTCACCAAAAAATAAAGTCTGCTGAAAATTCACTCACACTCAGACCATCCAAAATGTAGATGAGTTTGTTTCTTCATCGGTACAGAGTTGGAGAAATGTAGCATTCCATCACTGTCTCAGCAATGGATCCTCTGCAGTGAATGGGTGCCGTCAGAATGAGAGTCCAAACAGCTGATAAAAACATCACAGTAATCCACACCACTCCAGTCCATCACTTAATGTCTTGTGAAGTCAAGTGTTTTTGTAAGAAACAAATTCCTTATTAAGACGGTTTAACTTAAAACCATCGCTTCTGGCCAAAATATGAGTCCATGATCCATATTAACATTTCTTCCATTAAACCCCCGAGCGTGTACACACCTCACGCACCGGATGCCGTACGCTCGCCCAAAGACAGTTGGACATAGTGGTGTATTAGAGGTTCTACTGAAGAAACAAAGTCACCTGCATCTTGGATGCCCTGGGGGTAAGCAGATAAACATCAAATTTTCATTTTTGAGTGAACTATCCCTTTAAGGCATTTTAACTTTAAACAGTCGCTTCTGGCCAAAATACAAGCTCATAATCCATAGTAACGCTTCCACCAGCAAAAAAGTTCATCCCTTGTTGTCCTCTCACATCAAAATCCACGACATATTTTTTTAGAACTGTTTCGGCTGGTAAACAGTGCTTGATCTGTGCATATTTCTCTCCTGTTTCAGACGAGATGACTTTTTCCACTGGATAAAGCAGTTTATGGATAGAGGACTTGTATTTTAGCCAGAAGCAATGATTTGAAGTTAAAACATCTTAATGATGGTTTCGTTTATTACAAACAAGTGATGGACTGGAGTGGTATGGATTACTTGTGGATTATTGGGATGTTTTTATCAGATTTGGACTCTCATTCTGACGGCACCCATTCACTGCACTACCTTCAGATGAATAAACAGACTCATCTACATCTTGGATGGCCTGAGGGTGAGTCAAATTCAGAACATTTTCATTTTTTGCTGAATTATTCCTGTAAGATCACAAAACTATTGACTTCTGATATATAAAAGTTTACTAAAGGAGCTAGAGAGTTTCACAATTGGCTTCTAAACTCTTCCTGATCAGCACTCTCTCGGTTTAAATCTAGATTAAAGACATATCTTTAGCCAAGCATTCATATAATGTCCTCATAAACAATTATATCTGATGAAAAAGTACCAAAAACGCATGATCTTTTGCCCGAAATGTTATGAACAGCAGCTACACTAATTCTTACGGTGGCCGAGAGAGCTCAACGCGCTGCAAATTAAAAAACACAGTTATCTACAGTATATTTAGTAGTAGCTTGTCAGTGGTGACTATGTCAAATTGATGTAGCTACATATGGCAGAAATGTAGCCTACGGTAAAATTCAGTTAATGTCGTAATCAAACAGATGATGAACTTTTTTTTTACAGCAATGATTATATGTTGCAATCAAACTTGTAATAAAATTTGGCAGTTTATGTTGTTTCAGGGTTGGCATCATCTGAGGTCCTCTGGGGGTTTTGCATCATCTCTTCTCTTTGTAAGAGAGATGTCTTTGAGAGGTCTTTGTAAGGGCTGGATCCCGACTGAAGCTTGTGTAATTCCTAGTTACCATGGCAAAGCTGAATTTTCAGCATCATTCAGTCTTCAGTGTCACATGATCCTTCAGAAATCATACTAATGTGCTGATTTGCTGCCCAATTAGGCCTATGATTGGTTCTCAGTTAATAATGGCTTGCTACTCAATATTTTGTGGAAAATTATTTGATGAATACAAAATACAAAAGAACAGCATTTATTTGAAACAGAAATCTTTTGTAACATTATAAATGTATTTTTTGCTCGGTTTAATGCTTTCTTGCTGAATAAAAGTTTTTTTTTAAACTATTACTTTTTACTTAACTATTATTTATACTTCGTGTATCTTGGTTTCCAAAAAATATTAAGCAGCACAACTGTTTTCAACATTGATAATAATAAACGTTTATTGAACATCACATCAGCATATTAGAAATATGTTTCAAAATATTACCTTTTGAAAAGATACCACCCCAGTGACAGCTTTTGTACCTTTTTTTTTTTTTGAGAGTGTATATGGACTTAGATACTGTTTCCCATCATCCACTGGAGAGTGCAAAATCACACTGTCAAACACATACCTGCAACCACTGATAGAGCTACCACAACCCGTGTCCACATTGGCCAACTCTGTCTAAACCCCCTGCTGTGTAACATCTACATTGAGTCATATCACTTGCTTCATCTTTATGTTTTTGCCCTGTTTTATTTTTTCTTCTTCACAAATACATGAAACAATCCCCTTTCCAATTGTTCAGAGATCTTTAATCCATCTTCAGGTCGGCTTAATGCAGTGCGGCTCTAATAGGATCGCTGGTATTAACCTCTGGGACAAAACTGCCAGCTGTCCCAGAGCCCCCTATTGGCCAGGCTGAAGTACAGGGTAAGGGGGTGTGATGGGGCAGAACGAAGAGAGACTGAGAGAGAGAGAAAAGGGTAGTGTGTTAGTGACTGGAAAGGGTGATGGGATTTAGTAGTGACCAACGGTGGATTGACAAGTGCTTTTTCTTGGAGGGACCTTCATTACCACCATTACTACCTTCCTAATTTACTTCTTCGTTCTCTGCGTGTCTGTTTCTTTTTGCCCCCTCGGGACGTCTGTGCTCTCAGGTCAGGGTGTTTAAACGTATGGCTGATTGAGCAGGCAGTAGACGTGGACGTCTCACCATGGCGTTGGGTGCGGTGTGGAGCCGAGCTAAAAATGTGTGCCAACAGAACGGCCTCCTCATCCTGTCAGTGTTGGCCGTGGTTATCGGATGCCTGCTGGGCTTCTTTCTGCGCTCCAAACACTTCTCTGAGCAGGTTAGTTTTGATTTCCTGCACCTCCTGAAGCAATAATAGTTATTGTTTCCATCTTTCCTGCAGTGTCTCAACGTTCCTGCCATCTAACATTAGTTAATGGCAAGGATTAATTGTATAGCTGAAGTGACAGCAGTTGGAGGGTGACCGTGATTTCACCAAGTACAACATGTTCCTGGATCAACATCCTTGTTGATCCTGGAACAACATTCCTATCAACCAATCAGAATTGAGGGATAACATTTCAGGAAATGTCTGTTTTAGGCTTACAATCAGGGTTAGGTGCTTCTACACCCTTGTTAATCGGCTATCATTTCACACAGTTTTTAGGAATAAATTATGGGTAGGGTTAGGTTTAGGGGTAGGGATTGGGTATATTTTTGGACAGTAATGTTGATCCAGGATAAACAAAAGATGTTGATTCAGGAACATGTATTGCTTGGCAAAATCACGGCGACCGCAGTTGGAGCTAGGTAGTATTCTTATTGACATGATGCACATTTTTTTCGAGTTGTGTTAAAAGTCACATGTAAAATGACTTGATTACGCCCTTTCTTTGATTAGTATGTTTTTAATTTCTGGATTAGAAAAAAGAAAAAAATAATGCTTCACTGAATCTTCTGAATTAGAACAAATCTAAATTGCTTCACTGCTTATTAAAATTGTAAACTTTTGTCCTACAAATCGAAGTCATGTGGTGCAACCAACATGCAGAAACAAACAAAACAGGAAATTATTTCATGACTGTGTGTCAAGGTCAGTAAGTCTCTTAAACTATCAGAAGATTTGTACCTTTTTGTGATAAGGCAAGGTTAGTTCAGGCTGTAAAATGTTATGTGTGTAACACCCCAAAACGTATTGATATTTGTGAATGAATAATTCACGCTATTTGTAAGAAAAATACTTTTACCTTAAAAAAAGATATATTTAAAAACTGAAATGAATTTTTAAGATGTGTACACTCAAATGTATTCAGATATGAAAATATCGTTGTTTACTTTGGTTGGTTACACCAAATGACATTGTAATGGTTTTTTTGTTGTTGTTGTTGTTGAAAATGGTATAAACGTTTTTCAAAGCCAGTGTGAATGCAAAGAGTGCAAGATTTTGGACATTTTTATTTGTTATTGACCAAAACAAGATGGTACACAGAAAACAAAAAGGTGAAGGATTTACTAAAACAATTTTCCCTCAGAATTTGATAGTTAATTTCACAAATATTTACAAAGACATGGCAAGTAACATAATGTGAATTTTTGAAGTAGAAAACCTGAAATAGTATTTTCTTGTGAAACACATTCCAGTAATCTTTGTTTTATTTACAACTTTGAAAAAAAATATTTTTTACAGTGCATAAAACAACTACATTGGACAATAATCTGTCTACAGGGCTGAGTCTGTTCATTTCACTAGCTGTTTCATTGATAAAGTGAGTTGTGCTCTCCATCAAAGCTCTCTGTCATTATGACACGAGTAAAGCAGGCATCTCGTGGCCCTGAGGGATTATCAGTCACTCATCTGAAACGCTGAAGCATTATTGCAATAAGGATCTAAAGTTGAAAATCTCATCACATCTTCTCATCCATCTCGAGTCGAACAACTCTCACTAGTCCTGTCATGAGGTTAATGAACAAACCTATTTGTTTGAAAATAGGTGAAACTGGAGTCTTTTGGTGTCTATTTGTGTATTATTATTATTTTTATTTTTAGTACTTAACAGAAAGTATTATGTTTATTTAAAAAATAAGAAGATCAAAGATATTTGAAACAAACTAAATTAAACATTGACTTTTTAAGTTTTTGTCATTATTTAGTAATTGAGTTTTATCTTAAGTGAAAATTCTACTTTCATATTGTAGGTAATTTAGTTTTGGTTTATGGTGAAATTAAAAAAATATTATATTATATTACCTTAACATTTTTGCTTATGAGTAAAGAAGATATATTGATTAAATTGGTGTTTATAATATTTTGTTTTTGTTTTTGTTTTGGGATCAATGGTTTTGTATTTGGGAAAATAAATATTTGTGATTAATATTAAATCAAAATGTAAAGTTTGAACAAAACCATAAACATCATTTGATTTAAAAAAAATAATAATAATAATAACAATACATTTGGATTTAGAGTGTGTTTTAAAGTTGGTCCAAAGTGTTTGTTTGTTTGTTTATTAAGTATTATTATAGTCAAGTGTAGAAGATATTAATTATTTTTTAAATTGTTGCACGTTTACACTTGTTTAGTTTGCTAATATGGAATACTTTTATCTATGAGCTTTAAGTCTTGTCCACATCCAGATTATTCTGGTCAAAATTCATATCCAGGAATATAACTACATTATTATATAATATATTGTGGAAGTAAGTACAGATGTTGTACAACAGTACAGCTGGTTTGATGCTGAGATGAGTGACTGCTTAACTGCATAAATCATCCATAATAATAATAATAATAAATCGCATGAACTTGCTCAGACTCTGACAATAGCCAAAAAGACAAATGTGATCAGTTGATAATCAATATTGACAGTTGATTATTGAATTGAGTTGAAGTTTGTCACTATATTTTCAGTCAGTTATTACACCACTGTAATGTTTAGCAATAAGCTCTGGCATCCCTGTCCGTTTAGATTACGCCACATGGCAGCTTTAGACTTTAAATGACCCGAGTCAGGGATGCCAGTGGCAGATGTAGGGGCTCGGTGCCAGCTGTTTTTATGTTAGCATTAGCAAGTAGCACAAGAAAGCCATTTATCAGCATTGATCATGATGCTACTTGGACAGTGGCCCTGATCTGAGCTTCACAAATCCCTGCCCCCTCCTTAATGCAGGCCTATAAGCGCATTAACACCAGCATCATGTCTCTCAGCTCGCTTCAAACACAATATGGTCTTCAATAAGTCTTTCTCTTGCTTAGGGTTAGGTTCTTCTTCAGCAACTTTCTTGAGCTGCAGTATTTTTATGTAGTGCTATCTTGAAGAGACATGATGATATTAGACAATTTGGATTATAGTAGAAACTGTTTTTTTTCATGAACTAATGATGAAATTAAAAGGACTGTAACATCAAAAGTCATTAAACAGTCACTGTCATTCTGTTCAAAATAAAACACCGGTTTTTATGTAAATTAGGCATATTATAGATTGTGACTTATCAACAAAATTATTTGTCTGGCACAGTTAACTGCGCTTGTCAAAGGAGGGGGCTTTGTTGAAAACGACGTGTTTGAGAGAGGTGGGGCATATGACCTACAATAATGTACAGTATTTGAAAAATAATGTGTTTTTTGAACATTAAAGCATGTCAACATATTCTGTTACACAAAATAATGATCTTTAAAATAGCATCATATGACCCCTTTAATATTTTATTAGCTAAACAAACGCAAAGCTTCCACCAAGAAAAAATAGTTCAAGCAAGAGTATAGTGCCGACTGCTGTTACCCGGATGAGCCTGTGTTATTAGCTTTTACCTGTTGTTATCGAGGGATAGCATACCTCGGAATGTCGTGACTGGCCAATCAGAATCAAGTATTCCACAGAGCCGTGTAATAATCTTTGTGAAAGATGTGTTTTGTTGTTGATTAGCATTAATGACAGACAGCTGCAGGCATTTATATGCTGTTGGTTCTGTTTCTCCTGAAGGAGGTGAAGTACTTCCAGTTCCTGGGGGAGTTGCTGATGCGGATGTTGAAGATGCTCATCCTGCCTCTAGTGGTTTCCAGGTAAGAGGGGACAAAGCAGAGGTGGGACCAAGTCATTGTTTTGCAAGTCACAAGTAAGTCTCGAGTCTCTGCATTCAAGTCTCGAGTCAAGTCCCGAGTCAAGACAGGCAAGTCCAAGTCGAGTTGCAAGTCCTCAGCTTTAAGATTCAAGTCTTAAACAAGTCATTAGTGCTTTTTGCCCAAATTAGTGTCTCAGTATTAATTACCATATCAAATTCATAGTAATTTATATCAGGAAGGCAGGTAGAATATGTTTGACATAGTTCAATTTCATGTGAGATGGGTGCCCTTAGTAAAACTGCTCAAGTTCAATTTAGGGATTGTGCCAAAATAGGATAAGCAGTGAAAAAAACTATTTTATTAGTAACAGAATAGCAAAGACAACATAATTTCATAGAAATAACAGTTGCAACATTCTTCTGTAATTGTGCTTTTGAGATTGAGAGTTTTTTGCTATTGCAACAGTTAGAGATCCATCCGTGCTGTATATATAGGTCCGGGTCGCTAAAGACCCGAATATGTAATAACGATTAGCGAAACATTCATGCATTTAAGGGTTAATGGAGGTCATTTTCTAAGAAAGAGAGAGGGCTGTTTATAAGGGCTGTTACTTTTGTCATTGCTTTTTGAATGAAAGATCAAGTGGATAAGTGAGTGATCAAGGTTTATCTAATAATTCTGTTGCACCAAACTTCAAACCTTTAAAAATAAACAGGTTTACATTTTTAACCCATCATTTTGATCGGATTTAAGTTATATTTATATTTTATAATAAATTATATTATATTTAAGTTATATTTTATATTAACTTTAATCCTGATTGCACCATAACTTTAAACTCAGACTTAAATCTCAATTATGGATTATATTGAAGGTGGAAGAGAGCGCTGTACATTCACTCCCCCCACCTACAATCCCTGCAAGACTCGAACCCACAACCTTTGGGTTACAAGTCCAACTCTCTAACCATTAGGCCATGACTTCCCTGACTTCCTTTTCAAAACCACATTTACCAAGTACTATCAAAGCCAATATTGCCAATGATACCAATACAGATACTTATATTAAATAGAATATTTCTAAGAATATTTCTAATAAAATTGGCAATTATAGTCATTTAACATTATATTTGAAAAACATTATTTTTAACATTTAATATGCTTAATCAGGCACTTGCAATTGTGGAACATGATACATTTAACAAATATACATTTTAATAGACTTACAGCAAATCAATTACAATGAATGTCACATACAGGTTTGTCGTTAATTAGAGCACCTGATACATATTCATTTAGATTGCTGAATTAAATCACTAGCAATCTTTACTAACACTTATGATACATTTTTTCAATATGCATTTGTATAAAAATAGCACATCACACTCTATATGTATTTACATTTGGCAGATGCTTATCCGAAGTGACACACAGTGCATTGCATTCGCATTTTATCAGTTCATGCATTCCTTGGGAATTGAACCCATGATCTTGGCATTGCTAGTGCCATGCTCTACTGTTTAAGCTATAGAAATGCTGTCCGTCATATTATTTTCTTTCTTTTGTGGAATACAAAATAATATTTTTTAGAATGCATTATTATGTATTTTCCATACATGAAAATTCATGGTGATTTTTATTGGCAACCTGCAAAAATGACACAAAGCACCATAAAGTGACTTGTGCACTGTATTCACGTCTTCTGAATCCTTATGATATATTAATGCAAATAACTATGCATTATCCTTTCAAACATGGCACCTCCAGATGTCAGTGACATCATTGCTTCTTAAATAATTGATAAATCATAAATATTCTTATAAATATTCTGAAATATGTGATAAATATTTGGGAGCTACAGCAGAAAGGAAAATAATAGTTTGAAGATAATAATTTGAATAACATCTGAAATTTTGGTCTGTTCCTCCAACAAAGCTATCGCATGGCTTCAGAAGTCTTAGAATTAGTCATGTGGACTACTTTTATTGCTTTTATGGTTGTTTAACTCTTTTCTCCAATCTCTAATATCTTTAATAAACGAGCAAGAAAAGAGCAGTTCAGAAATTCTGCAAAAAAAAAAAAAAAAACAGAGTGAGTAACCCTCTAAAACATGAAATTTGGTGAACTGCTAGTATTGATTAAGGATTTAACAGCCATGCTGCTTGTGAAAGATCTATAACGTGCAACCACTAAGATAGAATAAAACTATCCACACCAAATGATCACATGCCGGATGTGCTACTTGCCTCCTATGGTGCAGCAGTCTTAAAAGGAAGTTGATTGTCACTCCACACACACACTTCAGGATGGGTCAGTGTTCCAGATGCCCAGCGAACACAAACACAGACACTAGGGAGTCATTACGCGGGGTCAGTGTTGTTAATTACCTCTAATCTAAGGAAGCTAAGGACCAAATGTGTATGCACAGTAGCCAAGATATCTCTAATCAGACACCAAAGTAGTGCTTCCAAATACAACGGCCAGTGACTAAATATAAAACAGTTAGGTCTGTGTTGACCTAAATGTTAGTGCTTGTACTGTAGTACTAAGCGGCAAATTGAATTAGGAAGTCAGAAAGGCACATATGCAAAAGTAGTGGCTCTCTTCTCAAGAGAAACATTTGGCTTATGAGAACTTTCCTCATCAGGGTTGGAGACCGAAGATGCTGTGTTCAAGGGTCAAGTAGGGCAAAGGGTTGTTGATAAACCACAATCAAAGGCACTTTCTTATCCCTGTGTGCATTTCAGTACGATGGTGATCTTTAATCAATGGCCGCGCAGACACGCAACCATACAGACGCAGAACAGTTTGAAAAGTTCACCTATAGGGAATTCCATGAGATTATGGCGTGCACTTTATTCTGAATCTAGTTTACACTGTAAGAAATTATCACAACTTTAACAGTAAAAATCTGTGACTTGGTTAAGGGCAAGTTCCCTTACTATAAACAGCGAAAAACAGTAATAAATCTAACATGACAATTCTTGTCATTTTACATACAGTTGGATTTACAGTTTTTGGAAGTGAAAACCCAGCAAAAATATATATTTTTCTAGCCAAAATATGCATATTTTTAAATATATGTTTAATATATGTCGTAACAATGTTAACAAAAGTTAACAAAGTTCAATTAAATGTTTTTGAAATAGAAAATATATGTAGTTGGAACCTTCGTATACCAAAATATATTTCAAAATGTATTTCAGGGGCAAGAAAATACATTTCCAATATTACAGTACCCTATATTTAGTCTAAATGTAAATTATTTAATAACATTTTTAAAAAGTGTTATATGCTCACACTTGTTATAACACATGTTTATTTTCTTAAAATGAAAATATATGGAGAACAAAATAAAATTTTAAATGCATTTTATATATATATATATATATATATATATTTAAAATGGACAATATATTGTTATAAAATATATGTACATACATAAATATTTTAGGAGAATTATCCCAAATTTTCCCAGAATTCCCTTTGTGACACTTCGCATCTGATGGTTTTTCATTTAAATAACTGTTGTTGTTTTTTTTTAGCATTTATGTAGATTTTAGTACAGGTTTTATGTAACATCTTATGGTGTTAAACGAATGTTTTTTGCATTATTTTAGTGTTGTGTGTTGTTGTTTTGTATTTGTGTGCATGACACTCTGCATATATATTAGTATTTACCTCCTTAGCTTGTGGAAAAGCCGCTTGTGATGAGCTTTGATTCATTGTGAGACTTTCTCATTATCACCTGTGTTTTTTTGGTGGTTGTCAGTATATTAAAAGGTACAAAACAGAATTTAGTACTAGTAGTAGGTTGGTATTATAACATTATATCAGTTCATGTGAGTTTATACATTTTTTATACAGCAAATTTAAAAACGTTCCTACCACATATTTCATAAAGTACAGCTGTAATCACAGCTGCCATGTTTTATTGGTAGCTCATTGGTCTATAGGTAAATACATGATAGATGCTTTAGATGTACTGCCTTTGATAACATGGCACTATCTGAGCCCCAATCATATCCAATTCTTCATTTCCTGTTTACATTTTAATACATAGTTTACATTTTAATACATGTGCAGAATGAGGATCTGTACAGAGCATGATGCAGGACACATAATCCTCTCATATGTTAAAACAGTCTGCTTTAAGACATCTTTTCATTTTTCATGTTGGCTGCTGTAATGATTGCATCTATATGGAGAAAATCAATCGAACTTTTGGAAGATTAAGGCATGCCTTTTTTTCAGCTCAGCTGCATCTCTGGCGGCGGATTAATGAACTCTATGAGATAATGTTCATTAAAGCAGATGTGGTTTTTTTTCTTTCTCAAATTTGGTGTGTGGGGGTCTTCTGAAATGAGGAGACAAGGTGCCCTCTTTGTGTTTGTTGTTTTAGTTTGGAAAACCATGATCCAGATCTATTTGATGTTTGAATGGTTTTCAGGTTAAATTCCTTTTGCATATTTAGCATGCATATTACTAATATGCATATTGGGCTGTTTATTAGCACTTATAAAGCACATGTTAATGCCTTTTTCTGCATATTTTAGATCCCTTAATCGAACTTAACTACTACCTAACTATTAATAAGCAGCAAATTAGGAGTTTATTGAGGCAAACGTCATAGTTAATTGTTAGTTAATAGTGAGAACTGGTCCCCAAACTAAAGTGTGACCTAATATTTTTGCATGCTTATAACTCCAGCCAAGGAGCATTAAAGTCTCATCAAGTTTTTATGCATTAGTACAAAAAAATGTAGGATTAACAATATCTACAGTAATTAATTTAATTCATTTTTATTACTACAATTAAGTAGTAATAAAACTGTTGCTTGACCCCTGTAGTGAATTATTAATAATTCATTAGTCATTGATCATTAGTCATTAGATAATGAGTCAATACTGCATGCGCAATTATTGTGACAGGAGGTGCTGCTTTAATGTGGCACCGCGAATGTGGCTCATGCAGGGAACCCTGCATGACTCAGACGGGGCA